TGATTGGAAGGGTCTGGAGATTACAGTGAAACTGACTATTCAGAACAGACAGGCCCAGATTGAGGTAGTATTTCTGCCTCTGCCTGATCATCAAAGCCCTCAAAGAACCACAAAGAGCAGAAAGAAGTGAAAAAACATTAAACACAGTGAAAATATCACTTCTGATGATATTGTCAACATTGTCCAACCAATGCAGCACTGATCCTTAGTTAGAGAACTTTCTGGATCCTTTAGAGAGATCCTGGGAACTGCAGTGTTGATGGCTGCCATCCTCATGACATTATAGATGACTTAAACAGTGGTGCAATGGAGTGCCCAGCTAGTTAAGAACTACAAAGGAAATTATTTCTATTAAAGATCATTTGAAAACCCTCCCCACCCCCCCAAAAAAGGAAGTCCTAGATTTCTGCATTTTAGTGGTAGTCTTTTTGTTTTATTTAATAATATTCTACATTAAGAATCACCTGGGGGAGTAGTGGTATTGTTATGCTAATTCTTTGGCTGTCTTTAAGTATTCTGTTCACATTGTAATATACTTTGAAATAGTTTTAAAATTGAAAAGTAATACCTGAACATTCATGGTAATCTTTCAGGTAACACAGAAGAGTTCTCTTAGTCTCCTGTTCAGAGGCAACTTCAACAGTTTCCCTGCACAATCTGCTAACTAAAACACATTTCTTGTTGGAATTGTATTGTTCTTAAAATTTTTGTTCCATTCATTATAATACTGTTCTTTCATGTGTTTTCATGTTTAAATTTTTATTAAAATGCTTTTGGGGATAATTTTTTATTTTTTAGTACGGAGATATTATTTGTAATTAAGTTATATTGGGTGTATCTTATACAGACTAGAATATGTGCATTTTTATTATTTATTTATAAAAATATTTTTTATAGATTTCAGAGAGGAAGGGGGAGGGATAGATAGAAACACCGGTGATGAGAGAGAATCATTGATCGGCTGCCTCCTGCACACCCTCTACTGGGGATGGAGCCTGCAACCCGGGCATATGCCCTTGACCAGAATCAAACCCGGGACCCTTTAGTCTGCAGGCCGATGCTCTATCCACTTAGCCAAACCAGCTAGGGCTGTGCATTTTTATTATGAGAACACTAGTGGCCCGGTACACAAAATTTGTGCACATTAAAAGGGAATTAATTAGAGGAAATATTTTTAATACTAGTGACCCGGTGCACAAAATTCGTGCATGGGGGAGGGGGTGTTCCTCAGCCCGGCCTGCACCCTCTCCAATCTGGGACCCCTCGAAGGATGTCCTACTGCTGGTTTACAGGGATCGGGTCTAAAACGGCAGACAAACATCCCTCCGGCATTCTGGACAGGTTGGGACCTAACAGCACGCTTGTATGGCTGCCGGCCCGATGGACTATAATACTTTGTTTGTCAACATGTATTGTATTATAATTTTTACTTTTATTATGTCGTACGTATAATATTTATTTTTAGGGTAAAAAGAATAAAACAAGACAAAAGAAAACACAGCCGAAAAAACATCAAAAAAACACACAAATAATAGCAGACCGCTTAAGGAAAAACCTATAAATACAGAAACAAACAAAAACAAGAAAGAAGGAAAGAAAAAGAAAAGCAAGCACACACCCCCTCATCTAAAACCCTCCATTAATCCTTAATAATCTTATTTTTTGTGGGGGCCCCCCCCACTTGGCCGGCCCCCTCTCCCTCCTCTCTTTTTTTTTTTTTTTTTTTTTTTTTTTTTTTTTTTTTTTTTTTTCTTTTTTTATATTC